GTAACACTCCAAAGAGAAAGGAAAACTTGAAATCGCATCATATGACCCCTTTAAAGATTACGACGGCAAACAAAAAATTTTTTTCACATTTTTTACTCACTAAAAAAGTAAGTAGGGTCATTTTTGTTTTCAGGACGACTAATCATTTTCAATGCCATTGGCAAAACTACCACATACTGTATACTGCCATATAGATATTTTAATTTTTTTTTTTTTTTTAATTATTTCAAGCTTATTATTTCAAGCTTTGAAATTGGTTTAATCCAAGTCTTCTAAAAAGACACATTCGCTTTATATGATTAACAGATTTTAATATAGGCTTTTATTTACATACATATAAATATTTATCAATTACCATTACAAAAATCTCGATCTTAAACATTTGATCATTCTGTGTATTTGTGTCTTTAAAATAGGGTAACTTTCTCATTCTGTGTATTTGCGTCTTTAAAATAGGGTAACTTTGTTGCAAAAGCTTACAGCAGGAAACTTGATTTCAAATTTGATTTCAAACTGAATTGAATTTACAAAAAATGACAAGTACACAAGTCAGTAATAAAATTATACAAATTACCTCAATTCAGTTGTATTCGAAAATGACAACACTGAATTTTTATAAGCAGTGATTTAAGAGCCATATATGTTAGGCCTATTTATTTAGATAAAAGGAACATCAGATGGCTTTGACCCTAATGTCTGTACAATGTAGTGATGCAGTTAGGCAGACTAGGATATGTATATGTACAAATCAGACAAATATCCCATTCCAAAACATTTCTAGCATAAACTTACATACATAAGAAATTAAAGTTCAATCTTTGATTGTTGAAAGACATTCCGGTGCATTTCACTTACAGCCAATAACATTTCCAGTAGGATTTTCATCGGTCAGGCGTGGATCTATTCTGATAACTTTTGACAACGTTTAATCCAGGAGCAAAGAGAAATAATTTCTGCTTAAAGCATGGAGAGATCGTGATTGCACAGTCTGCTCACAAGCAATATCGGAGTGAGGGGACAGGCAGTTCATTTGTATAAGTTAGGCCTATTTGAGAGCTTGCATCCAGTTTTCTGCAATTACATGACTGTGTTCATATGTTACAATAAAGCACCCGCCACATTTGCGCGGGAATGATTAAAATTATGCGGAATACCTGCAATCTCGTGCGGACTTTCAGACTGTAATTGACAGGAGGCGGATGCGTGTCAAACTCACTGTCGGAGAGGAAAGAGAGACGCAGCTTGGAAAAGCGGCGGCTTTTCCCGTTTCAGATATCAGGGCTTTTATTGGTCCATTTACGGCGCTATCAAAATATAGATATTTATGATAACACTACCATGTAGTTTGTTTCTCCAAACTTTGAGTCCATAAATTACGCTGAGTAATGGAACCGTGTCAGATATTTCACACTGTCTGATCAGCTCTTCAAAACCTGCTGCAGCGGCGGCAATCAACATATCATAAATACTGACAAATGTGTGATGGACACAATATATGTAGTTTTTGCATTTAATGAAGAAAACACATCACGGAGGTGTAAAATAAAGAGATACTGTAGATTGTTTAAATGTCCCTGGCAATGTTTTATTTACATTTTCCCCAGATCTTTTTGTATGCTCATGTTCTTTATGTATTCTGTCCGTAGGAGCAACGGTTGCGCTATTTGAAGCAGCAGGAGCGACGGCAGCAGCAGACTGTGTCTGAGACCGAGAAACTACAGAGGTTAAAGGAGAGGGTGGAGAGTCAGGAAGCCAAACTCAAGAAGATCCGTGCCATGAGGGGCCAAGTGGACTACAGCAAAGTCATCAATGGCAACCTGTGTATGTCTCCATATGGCAACCTGACTTCAGCAATCATCCAAGTAGAAACGCTGCTAGCGATTGTGATGTGGCTATTTTGCGTGGCTGTATAAAGCCAGATTGCTTCATGTAAGCGTTTGCATGTGAGAGAGCAGTAAGCTTACAACTGCAAGTGTGATCACATGCACACATAAAAACACATGCCATAAGGTCAGGATTAGGTCTTTGCTAGTTTGTGAATCGTAATGATCTCACATAATGCCAAATACTCCCACACACGCAACTCCAGATGGGATTGTCCACTACGCTGGAGATGAGTCTTTTAAGGGCTGTGTTTAAAATTTGATTTTTGTGGATTGTTATCAGTACTTTATTGCAGAATGGTTAAGATTTTTTCAGTTTTAACCCACAGCTGGGTGGTTTATTCATGTTGTGCCAGCATTTAGGCTGTATTATGTTGTTGACAAATGGTGAAATCAATAAAAGTCAATTTTACTGTATAGAATATATCTGTTCAGCCTGCTAGTTTTGCATTATGCAAGAGCTCCTGTACAACATGTGCAGCCACACATTACATTTTCATTGAACATTAAATAATAATCCTATAGTAATAGAGAAAGTATGTCGGCTCATGTATGCCTGTGTTTGCACGCAAGTTTGCGTGTGTATAACTCAGCTGTGGTCTGTTAGCCGCAGAGATCGAGCACATCAGCGGGCTGTTCCAGGACAAGCAGGCAGAGCTGCAGGCAGCCGTCTTGAGGGTGGATCAGCTCAGCCAGCAGCTGGAGGACCTGAGGAGAGGCAAACTAAATGGCTTGCAGACCTTCGGAGGTCAGGTCACTGGCACCGCTGCCCTGGAGCTCCGCAAACTGTACCAGGAGCTGCAGGTATGACCACACACTCAACTCAAGAGTTTAATTTCATACAAGAGATTTGTTGTGGGTGATTTTTCACCATAAAATATTAAAAGAACCTTGACCACTTTTAATAATGCAGTTTTTTTAGTATGTTGTATATTGCAACAAAATTCTGCTGGTTTTGATATAGGACCCTTTCCAAAAGTAGGGTGTGAAATGTATAAATGACACCAGAAAATTTTTTTTGGCTGTTAAAATTAGTTAAAAACGTATGATGTTTGTGGTATAGAAACATGGAGTCAGCTATATCCATAGATATTGATTGTTTATTATTCTGTGTATGTCTGTGTTACTAGTATGTGCCTGTCATTTCTATCAGTTATAATATTGATCATTACTTTGCTGTTTTTTTCCCAATCAGATACGCAATAAGCTGAATCAGGAGCAGAACAGTAAACTTCAGCAGCAGAAAGAGCTGTTGAATAAGAGAAATGTGGAGGTGACACTGATGGACAAGCGTATCAATGAGCTCAGAGATCGACTATACAAGAGAAAAGCTGAGGCACGTCAAAAAGAAAACCTTCCAGTAAGGCCAGGAGTTTGCATCACTCAGTCACGCTTCCTAGTTTAATTTGTTTAAAATCTTGTTCAGAAACCAGACATCTAGAGACCAAACCTGGAGCTTGTGAAAGATTTTACATTTCAACTAAGCTAATTTCCTTTTTTCTTTTGTTTCCTTTTTTGCCCTTTTTTCCTTTTCCCCCTTCCTGCAGCTGAATAGAGTAAACGGTCCTCCCTCTCCCCAGCCGGCTCCCGGAAACACCGGCCGTGTGGCTGCTGTGGGACCCTACATCCAGGTCCCGGTACCAGGCAGGCAGGAGAGTTATGTAGTGCCCCCTGAACCTCTCAAACCTCAGTCACTGGGTGTTAACACCCCAGCCAACCATGCCTGCTCCAAATCAGGTCAGTCCATAAACACTGACGTCTACATGATAATGTCAAACATTTATTTGGAATGAGATGGTGCCAAATAAATGGTACCCTTTTTGTCTATGTATTTGAATCCTACATTGTGAATCAGCATAGAAAATTTGGAGTATATTAACATTTACCTGCAATTATCACTGCTTTGATCAGTTTTGATCAGTCTGTACGTAGGTCTACATTTAGTCTTGCACATCCAGACTTATCAGCCAAGTCAGCTGATTCCTGCAAAGAATGCACACTTAGCCATTTAAAGTAAACAACCACATTTTATTTTGTTCTCGCTTGATGTTTGTTCAATTGATTATGTTAATAGACCAGCAAACAATGAAGTGTATTCAAATAATGCTGCAACCATCTCTTAGAGCATTTGATCACCCAAAAGTAACAAGCACCAGTTATTTGACAGACACAACTTATAAAACAATAGTTATGCTTGCCATAACTTGCCTCAAACAAAAAAACTTTTTGAAGGATCTGATGATCTTTTGAACTCTGACAAATCCAGTAACTAGTTATTCCTCAAAAAAAAAATTTCCATCCACTGGTCTCATGTCAGCATGATTTTTGTGATGAACTGTGTAGCAGCCAGGCAGTAAATCAGTTTGAAAGCGGGATTTGTGTCTAAAGCCCAAAGTATACTTAAGTTTTGATGTGAACACGTAGTGTGTGCGTAAATCTAAACGGCATATACTGCGTTTAGTATCCTTGCATGAACATAGGCACTTGATGCATACATACTAGAAAATTTCATATTTGTCCTTTGTCTGCCCTGTTTCTCTCTAGGAGTTACGACTGATAAAATGTCTTTGTACTCTGTTAAACTAAAATTGCAGGTCTCTCTTAGCCCCCTCAGACAAGCATTCATCAACACAGGCATCTGTTGTTGTTGTTGCAGTCTCAAGTAGTTTGTTGTTGTCCTGACTTGTTCATTTCTGTTTTGACAGTGAAACAATGGCCAGGGCTAGTGTTGCCACCTTGTGGACCAACTAAAAAAGTGTGGTTGGAAGTATGCACATACATATGCTGATGATGAAATTTATGTCATGCACGCTACCTAGTGTATGAGTTAAAACCAAAGTATAATTTGGGCTTAATAAGACTGAGACTAGCTCCTACAAGGGTGTTCGATTGAGTGCTACAGCATTCCTATTGCTCAAACAGTAGAGAATGTTGCTAACAACTCCAGGGTCATGGATTCGATTCCCAAGGAATTCATAAGCTAATTAAATATATACCTAGAAAGAAAGTCACGTAGGAAAAAAAGCATCTGCTGAATGCATAAATGTAAATAAAGTGGTTTGGTACTTCTTTTATAGACCACAGCATGTATCCTATCACTTCCTGCTGTGAGTTCCCTCTCTTCAGTTGCTGTTTGTTTATGAAGTTGATTTCTCATTTTCTTCACTTCTAACCTCTTGTGTCGTTTCTGCTCTGTGCTGTGCATACGTGTATGTGTGTGTGTCTCTTTTCTCTTTCCTGTCCCTGTACTTTGATGTTGTGGGATTTGTGGGGGGGATTAGATGGAGTGAGAAAGCCTCCCGGCCCCTGGAAGGTCTCTGATTTAGACATCATAGTGGACCCGATTGCTCCACCCCCTCCAGAGCCCCGCCCAGGCCCTGGGGCTCCACCCCCAGTCACCGGCTCTGCGGCAGGGTCGGACAGCGCTTCTCGTGAGTGAGAAGGTGTCTGATAGAGGGCAGGAGGAACGGCCTGTGAACCTTATTCAGTGTATTGAGCAGGATCAAAGCAGTCTTAGTGTGGCTTGTTACTGTCACCCTGACTCTTGCTTCCATTGAAGTTCAAAATGCTCCTTAGATCATCTCAAATCATGCTGGAGAACATGATTATCAGGTTTAACAGAAAATGGTGGAGTTCACGCAGCTTGATTGCTGCTGTCATTAAAGCAAAAGAAGGACAAACCAAATACTAAGACATTTTGAAATTCATGTTTTTTATTCTTCATTTAAATGTTTTACTCCATTGTTATGCTGATAATATGCACTACCGTTCAGAAGTTTGGGTTGGTAAGATTTTTTTTTTATGCTCACCATGCTGCATTTGTTTAATCAAAAATACAACAAAACCAGTAATATTGTATAGTGTTTGGTTCGAGTCCACCTAATCTTTACAAATACAAAAACGCAATGTCCATTTAAATGTAACAAAAGCAAACCTCTATTGTATCTTGCCATTTTGATTTTCGATTAATAATTAGTGTCCTGCTTTGCTTAGCAAACTTAAAGTCATGTAACAGAAGTTATAGCTGAACTTATTTATGTATTGTGACATATTTTAGAGTGAAACAGGTTTTGAGAATGTGAAAAATTAAAGGGTGGGACTTGACTTTATTCATCGTTAAAGTAAATGTATAAATTCAAGGGTGGGGGCAAAGGAGTAGGTATCTTGGTGAATGGGACCTTAAGAGCAGAAAATGCACCTTTTATCTCAATAAAAAACAAGCTTTATATAATTTTTACGATTTTTAATGAAATATGAATTTTGAATAATCAAAATTAGTTTGTGTCTGCTTATTCTATTCATCAGTGTTTGAACCATTAAAGAAGAAACTGCATTTTAATTTCTGGGTTAAAAAAAAAAATGTATATACGGTATACGGCCAAAGTATACGGACCCCTTAGACAGGGCATTTAGATTTTTTTTCTTGGATGAAAATGAGGCTGTGAGGGATAAACCTAGTCTGTACAATGGCACACACTGTGTATAAAAGCCCTACATACTTTCCATAAGTCACAGCCAGCTCACACCTGTTTTATTTTTGAATGCATTTATAGTTACATTAATTACAATAAATGACATTATGTAAGGAATAATTGATGACGGGCCGTTGAATTATTAGAAAATAATGACCATGCTGCATTTGTTTAATCAAAAATACAACAAAACCAGTAATATTGTATAGTGTTTGGTTCGAGTCCACCTAATCTTTACAAATACAAAAACGCAATGTCCATTTAAATGTAACAAAAGCAAACCTCTATTGTATAAAATCCCTACATATACTTTACATAAGTCACAGCCAACTCACACCTGTTTTATTTTTGAATGCATTTATAGTTACATTAATTACAATAAATGACATTATGTAAGGAATAATTGATGACGGGCTGTTAAATTATTAGAAAATAATGCACACCCAAGGTGATTTTGGACCCATAAAAACTATTGCCGCAAATATGTTAGAAAAATGATTTTTCTTTGAAGCTAGAAACTGCCACTAATACAAAAGCAAAAAATAATAAACTAATGTAATAAAACATTCTCAAGCTTACTGTAGGCAAGTAAACACTCCAAGTATTACTTACAAGCTAAATGATTAATAAATATATTACTCAAAAATACTAATTAAATAGTTTTTAAAAGTTTTTCAGATAGTAGCCTAGTAAAGGCTTCTAGAAATAGCCTACTACAGACATTTCATGAAGTAATAAATGTAAAAATAATCTTCACTGTATACATTAAATATAGATTATTCTTATTAAAGTGATTAAGTAATTCAGTCAAGAGCAGTGAGTGGTTTTCTCCTTTTCTTTTGTTTGATTAACATTTATGACGCAGTCGACGGCTGCAGGTTACGCTGTTGCTTTAAGATCTGACACATAGATCAAATATTTTGACACATCTGTATTTCTCCCAACTGTTCAAGTTCACTTAAAACAAAACCAACTGCATTTACATGAATAGTCTCCAAGATGGGCATTTTGACATAACTTTTAGTGTAAGTGTGTAGCAATAACAGAAATTAAGAGAACTTAAGCGAAAGCAAACTCTGCATTCGCACACTGACTGAGAGGCACGTTCTGTGAGCACGCTTTCGGTGTGTGAGCACAGAAACCCGTCGGCTTTCAAGTACTGGACAAGACTTAAAAACACATGCAAAATACTGAATATCACTTTTGTGATAATGCATTGAATCAGTGACATTTCCGTCAAATGTCCCTGGACTCGGACATATTTTCCGAGTCCGAAAGGCTCGAGTCCGAGTCAAGTCCGAGAAAAATGCATCCGAGTCCGTGTCAAGTCCGAGTCCTTTAAAAAACTGTGCTCGAG